GGTAGGACTCTTCCTGTTTATTTTTGGTTATCAAATCTAATGAAATTTTAGAAGTCTCGTCCTGCTCTTAAAAGATATTGTGACATACAGTAGCCAATAGAGGTGGTGATCCCTGCATTTTAAGTATAGCAGGTCCTGCATTTTATACATTATTGCCTTAATTCTTCTGTTCCTAACCAAGTCTCTGCAGAGATGGGAAGGTCCCACTGAGGAGAACAGACCCCAGTGCAGCTGCAGAGGATCTCTGCATCAATAGATCGGTCTGAGCCCTTTGGGCATTATGATGGTTTTCTTTGGCACTTATTACCTGCCAGTAGTCAAAGAATTGCTGCACCTGCTTCAGGCTTTCCTTCAAAATTGAAGGGTGTTGGTCAATACTGTGGCCAGGAAGATTCTGACTCATGCAGCGCTCCCTAATGCTGGCAGGACCATTTTCCTCCACATTGAGTGGCCCCAGATGGCCATGCTTTTTCACTTTTAATTTTTACATTTTTTCCTCTCCCCCAACACAAGTCGGGCTTGAGGTGACCTTAGAAGTTTTGTGAGGTGAGTTAGATTGGACTTAGATATACCCTACTAGCATTTATGGGGAGGTTGCTGAATTTATAACTAAGGGATGACATGAAATTTCTTCTAAAATAAACTAATTTAGTTTACAGAGGGTGTTCATCTGAAGAAAAATAGCAATACAGGTGGAGGAAGGATACGGTAAAACTCGACAACCTGGTTCTCAAATGGCCCAGTGTGGAGAAAGAAACTTGATTTTTCTTGAGAGCATGGAGGTTCATAGCAGACACGTGAAGTCCTGGAGGGTCTTGTCATGTGTGTATTCTGATTCAGGAGGGCTGGTTTGGGGCCAGGAATTCCCAGGGGATCCTCTGGAAATTCCCAAGGCTGATGGCCTTTGAGTCTCAAAGTTTGACCCGCACATTAGCAGCACTGTATGATCGCACCATAGGAAGCTTGCTGGAAATGCCAACTCTCAGTATTCCCTGTACCAGAACCCCAGATGTTTCCTGAGCATGCTAAAATGTGGAACCCCCAACCTGACGTGATTGTGGGTCCTCACTGCACAGTGAGCCCTTGTGAGGAGGCAACTGGGAAGCACACCTCCACTCTCACCTAGAAGGAGTGCTTCTATTTCTTGGTTTTCTACCCACTTCCAAAGAGCATGCCTAAGGATGCTTGTGGGTATGGACAGCCTTCCATAGAAATAGGGGCTGGGGATTTAGCTCAGCAGCAAAAGCACCTGCCTGGCAAGTGCAAGGTTGTGAGTTCGATTCCCGGTACCGAAGAAAAACCAAAAACAAAAAAAAAAAAAAAAAAAAAAAACGAAATATCTTCACTATCTTTCCATTCCTCTGCATTATCTCCCTTGCCCACTTTTGCTTTTATAAGCCACAGGTCTTCTGAGTAGCTACCTCACTGTCTGGATTCTGTGAGGCAGATGCTGGTGGCTGGAGCATGGCTGGAGAAGGGACATCTATCATTCTTGGAACCACCAGTCCCAGAGAGTATAATTTGCTTGATAAATGTATTCTGGCTGCAGCTGCTCTGAGTAGGATGAAGGATTGTGCAAGAGGCTGGGTGCACTAGGTTTAGAAAAATTACCACCAGCCAGGTAGAATCTGGGAGGCAAAGCGAGGGAGGGAAGTGCTCAGTGGCCTGTCTGGTTCCTAGACCTGTGGCTTACTATGTGGGGAAATCAAGGTTTACGGGCTCTGAGAGTGGGGCTGTATGACTGTTAAGGTTAATAACACACCCTGGGTGGCAGATAGTGTTCTGGAGGTAGCTGAAGCCATATCCTGCATGCACCTACTTTTTGTAGTGGGATCTTGCTACACTCCAGTCAAAAGGGGAGGTTGGTCCCCTGCATTGAATGAGGCTGACTTTAAGACTCACTCCTAATGAATAGAATAAAAATGATACTCTGTGTCTCTGGAGGTGAGGTCGGAGAAAGCCACTCGGTTTCTGCTTCTCTTGGAACACCTGTTCTGGGTAGAATCAATGGCCACGCAGAATTCCATTGACCCTGAGACAGCTGCAGGTGGCAATTCCGGCTGGACTCCCAGCTGACAACCAGTGTCTGTGGCTGGCCATATGGGTAGCAATCTTGATGGGCAGTCCAGTCCATCCCTCAGGTGACTGTGGCCATGGTCAACGTCATTTTGTGTGAACACATGAAAGATTTTAAGAGAGAACTGCCCAGCCAAACACCTCTCAGTTTGCTGATCCACAAACTCATGAGTAAAATAATGTTCTGGGGTGATTTGCTCTGTAGCCATAGTAACTGGAGTATTCTGGAAGCCTGAGTTATCACAAGTAGGTTGCATGTTCTTAAAATCATCTTTCAAGCAAAATTCATTCTACTTCATTTCATTTTAAATGTTTTAAAACAACACTTAGGATCCAGGGATAGGCTGTCACGAAAACAAACAAAACCTTAAAACTGCCTAGTTAACTCTATGCAGCTTTCAGGCTACAGTAAAATGATTATGGTAATAAGAGACTAGCTTCTGTTTGTGTTCTGTTAGGCATTCCATGTCTGTTCTTTCATTTAACTTTCATTCCAACTCTTTAAGGTGTCTCTATTTTATATGGGGAAACTGAGGCTCAGAGAAGTTAAGGGAAGGACTAGCCAGGAGCTACCCAGCAAGGTATATGAAAGTTGATGGTCTGACTCTAGGGCCTTTTCTGCAGCAGATGCCAAAGTTGCCACAGAGGAGAATTAAGTCACCAAGGTCTGTTATCCTTAGAGACAGGGTATGGGACCCTTAGGCATCATTTAGTTCAGTGATACAGACTCAGGGCCCATCAAGAAACCTGGGGGAGTCTTTTAAACATACATTCCCAGGTCCTGTAGGTCTAGGTGGAGTAGTCTCCTGAAGGTTCTTGCTGATCTGCAATGGATGCTCCCGGTTTAGTCCACCCTTCCCTGATGGAGGTGGTCACACTGAGGCCCCACGAGAAGAACTGGGGTAGAGAGCTTGTTTCCCAAAATCTGAATCAGGTGCTCCTCTCTGCCTCACTTGGAGGAAGTGTGGAAGGCTGGCGGTGGAAGTTCCTGTGCACTGTTGAAGGGATCTCAGTGCACTTACGCTCAGCTTCTGCAGGAAGCATGTTACTGGCTCAGGTTTATGAATTGTTGGTTGGGCTTCGTGATGATGCTGGGCATGGGCTCATTCTGTTACCTGAGAAATATTTACAAAGTGGCTTCCGCATGCCAGGTGGAGGCACTGCGGGTCACAGTGCTGGGTAGAACTGTCACAGCACTCCTTTATTTTTGAAATTGCATAAATACGCAGATTTAATCTTAAACATAAAGCTTCACAGTCAGTAGAGGGGTTGAGAGAAAGAGGGAGGGTGAGAAGGAGCATGAAACATGTAGAAAGACAGCGTGAAATCTGAGGCTTCTTTTGGATACACAAGAGAATTGCATGTGGAGCTGATCAAATTGAGAATATTATTACAAAGTCATTCAGACTCTCAACCAGATATTAAGTGCTGCAGTGTCTGAGTCCCCTAGGGGCCAGGGCATGCTAGTGGGCTCTGAGCTTGTAACCCTGAAATGGTCCCTGTCCCTGGTTACCCTCACAGTGTGGCAGAAAATGCAGAATTATTATAATCACATAACATCTAGAGTCCTGGACAGAAACCAAAGCTGTAAGATCCTGAATTCTGGTTAGGAATTGTGACAACTTTAGGGATGACTCTCAAGACTGAGCTATTCCCTGGGATCCCAGGGAATATTTTCATTCCTGGGAAAGTCATGGGCAAACCAGGACCACTGAGCACCCTACATGCTTCCTACAGGAGGAGAGAGCTGGCGTACTCCTCTCCTGCTCCTTTGTCCCTGTGCTCCTCATCTTTGTCCCCACTACCCTTTCCCTGGAAGCCCAAAGCAGAAGTCCTACTTTTCCCACTGCCACCTGTTCACCTGTATGTCCTTCCCTGCTGCCCTTTTCTTGTCCACTCCGCCAACATGTCTTGCCAGGACATCTGCTATAACTTCCCACCATGTTCTGTTTTTCCTTCTCTGTCCTTTCCTAGTCCCATCCTCTCTTCTGCCAGGGCCATGACTTCATATTGGATTTCTGTCCTATCTGCTGAGTAGACTCATTGGCTCAAAATCAGAATCCCTTGGCCTGGCACTCAAAGCCCAGAAACTCCTGACCCTTTGGGATGTCTGAAGCTGTGCTGAACAACATCACCAGAAAGAATTGGGCTAGAGACCTGAGACAAGACTGATGGCCAAAACTGCAAACTCACCATTCCTTCCCCACCTCTACTCCCGGTTTTCCACTTAGTGTGTCAACCAATTAAGACTCAACATGGAATCTTGGGCTTTCGTAGGGTGAATGGGGTGTCTCTGAGGGTGAAGAGATCAGGAAGTAGAATGCTTATAGCTGTTACAGCAGTGGACCAGGTTATGCTTCATTTCTTTTTATCTTCCTTTCCTCTTTCCTTTGCTCTCGCATCCCAAATTTCCATCTTATCTTGGCAGCTTTTTATTCTCACTCTGCCCCCTAGTGGAGGTGTTGGTGACAGCATTGCACTGTCTGAATGACATGGGGGACAAAATTGGACAGTTCCTCTCCTAGTGGAGTCAATTTCTCCCTCAGTTTTGTTTCACCTCAAGCCTTCCTGTTCCCAGAGAGTGTGCTGCTGGCCTGGCCTTACTCCTCTCCGGACCACTGTGCTGCAGTGCAGCTTCTAGCTCCCTTTGGAGCCCGGGGTTCTCAGAGCCTTTGTGAGACAATCTCATAGCCATTCTTAATACGCATTTCATTGGTTCTTGTGGCCGGTGGTAACAGCGGATTCTATAAAGTTTCAGTGATCCTGTGTGTTTCTCCAGTTGGAACTGGCTGAGACTCATCAGCAGGAGCTGCTTATTTCTTTCTTTCTGGAAAACTGGGTCTTCGCCTACAGGGCATAGAGCAGGGACTTCTGGAGGCAGGGGAATGCTCATCTTTCACCCACTTTTCTTTGTTTTGTTTCAGTTTTACAGAGTTTTTGGATCCATTCCAGAGAGTCATCCAGCCGGAAGAGATCTGGCTCTATAAAAATCCTTTGGTGCAATCAGACAACATACCTACCCGCCTCATGTTTGTAAGTACCGTCATTTCATGGCTGACTTGACCACTCTCCCAAGTATGAACCCAAAGGGCTTTCATCTTAGCTTTTCTAGACCTCACTGCAGACAATGGCAGGTCAGAATAAAGAGAAGGAGGGCAACCTATAAATTAAAATTCAGTTCCAGATTATGACAGGTATAGCCCAGTCATGTGAGAAGTCATAATTGCCCAATGCTTTGGAAAGAGAAGAGACTCACTTACATGGGCTGTGTTGAGCTGTTTCAAAACATGGATAGTAACAGAAGACAAATGACAAGAACTTCCTGTCCCCTCTCCTTGGGCAAGCTTTGATTTTGTCAAACTTGGGCACCATGGATCTCTGTCAACCACTTTCCTGGTTTTAGGTGATTAGTTGTTGACTACTTATAAGACTAGACTTTGGCCTTAACCCCTGCATATTGCCATGTGTCTCTCTCTTCTTAATAAACTGACAAGCATCCAGCTATCCCATAGGTATACTGAGACTGTTTTTACTTCTTGCCTCTGCTGCATGGTAATTGCAACCCCGTCCTCTTCACTTTCTACTTGCCAGGTCCTTTGCTTTGGAGCTTTAGCTTGGTTTTGCTCTATCCTAGTGAGAAGGGTATCATCATTGTCCACATGTTACAGATACCGAAGTGCAGAGATATGAGAAACTTACCTAAAGTCGCACTGTTAGTGATCCAGCTCTGGAGCTCAATTTTCTGCCACAGGCTGTCCTGTAGGCTGGAAGCAGAGTATCCAGGACTCCTTCCTGATGCTAATGAACCCCTGGAGAGCTGCCATCAAACCTTCCTGTAGAAGAGGGAATATTGGATCTCTCCTTTGTTATGGGACGACAACAGTAACCTTTGGGTGGGCAACCTGGTTGCTTGAAGGTTATTCCTGTTGACCTCCCGTTGTGTCTGTGTCTCTCAGAACTGAGGTGGCTATTGCAGAACTTTCATGGAACACAGGAGGGCCACTTCTGCATTTGGAAAGAAATCACTCTGATTTTATGGAGGAAATCTTGTTAACCAATGATGATTAGAAAGACTTTTGTAAGTGCTCCAAAATGCCTGTAACACCACATGCATATTAAAGTATTGTTACAATGCTTTTTCATAATTACTTTTATGCTGGAAAATAAAATAGATTTTTGTAAATCTCTGGGAAATTGAAAAATTAGGGTTGTTGAAAGTAGGGCATAATGAATACGAGTATTATAGTAAGGGTTTTTTTTTTTCATTTCTGCTCAAATCTTCTATAAATCCTAGAAATGAAGGAGTCAGTGTGTGTCTAATGAGTTCATGGGTTTAATGGGGGAAGCTTCCACTGATCAGTTATCCTTCTTAAGATTTTACATTTCATGTGCTGTAAAACACAATTTGGAGATACATATTCATACAGGACATGGTGAGAAATTTGTGATGGTGTCCTAGATTTATTAACAATGTATTGTTTTGAAGACTAGATACAAGTGCCACAAATATTCTGGCTGCGGACACAAATAGGATGGAGCAATTTGCATGTTGGCAGCAGTAGGACTGAGGCAGCAGAGAAGTTATTCAGTGCTGTGATTTGCAGAGAATAGAAGGGTATTCAGCCACACATACTGACTCACACTTTCTAATCTCCTGGTGAAATAAACTAAAGCATTTATTTTGTTAATACCAGTTGATGAATTTCATGCATTTGGTCATAAGATTTTGTGAAATTCCATCATAAAACAAAGAAAGCAGTAATACATTTATAATACCTGCTACACAAAGATGAAAAAATACTTTGTCATCTTATAAATTAGATTTGTTCCCTGGAATTTTATTAAGAGTTTAATATAAGATATCCTTTGTCAGCTTTTGATCTTTTAAAACCTTTGGATATTTGTAGAAGAATATTTAATGGAGCATATAGTTTCACTGATATTTAAAATACCTTGGTTTCTTTTCAAAGCTCAAATTTCATTTTTTAATACATAAACAAAATCTTGGGTCTCTTTACTTTAGTTGGAATGTTTCCATCTAAAGGTGAGCTTTCTAACCAAGAGGATCTTGACCCAGATGTTTCTCTGTTGGGTAATCGTCTTTTTGGTCATGGGTATGTGTATGTGTCTGTATGTGTATGCGTTTTAGAGAAGCCAGTTGGTCAGATGTAACAAGAAAATTAACAGAATAATGTCAGGAGATTGAGTTAAGTGCAGAACAAGTGGTAATCACATCACCAGGAAGTTCCCCAGCTTGCATTTTCTTTGTCTGTGGCATCCTCAGCTCAGGCGACACATCTGTCAACATGAAGGTTGGGAGTGGTTGGAGCTGTTCCTTCCAAGAGCTTGTTTCCCTGGATGACTCACTGCTGACCAGAGGGACAGACTAAGAATTCTTTTCAGATGCACTGAGGCTGGACTTGCCATTTTGTGGGGATTTCTAAGCAACCAACTGCAGATATTTCCAAGAAGCATTTACAGAAGGCTGCTCTCTTATTCAAAAGAGTCATGGTTCCTTGTTGAGTGTATAGGGTTCATCATAGCATGCTAAACACCTACTTCTTAGTATGGGGCAGTTTAGTTTTTATTAGCTGTTGATTTTTAGTACACTCTTTCTTATTGTCTATAGTGGCTACCTCTGTATGTTCAGGCTTCCATGGAGCCTGCAGTGGGTAGGAAACCATGGGGGCCAGAGGGGGTGGGAAGGCAAATCAAATATGTGATATATCCTCAGGAACCTTGCGGGATCTTGAGAGAGAGGACACTCTAATAAAGAATAGAATCTGGGGGAGGCCAGTAGGGAGGCTTAGGTGTGGTTCTAGTGTTGTGGCGGAGTAGGATGTACACAGCACTCCTCTCTGGAACATGCAGTGGCTTGGTTCAAAAACTCTCAACTTCAGTAATGAATTAAAGAGCCAGAGTTCAAAATAAAGGAAGATGATTTATTCAGAAAAAGATGGAAAAGAAGATAGCTACTCAGGGGGACTAGGGGGCATCAGAAGTGAATACCTCTGAGCTCTCATTCCCTAGCTCTTTTTACTTAGAACTAGAGGTTTTCCCATCCCCCATGTGGGCACCTGGAAGATATCGCCATCTGATTGGCTCTCTGGCTGTCTCTGATCCTAACCTGGTCACATCTGCCTACCTTCTTTCTGGCTGTATGATTTCTTCCTGATCCTTTGTGATGGGTAAGTGTGTGGGGGAACTTTATAAGAAGGTAGTTAGGCTTAATGATTAAGTAAAGGGGACATGTGTGTATCTGGTGCAATAATATAGTGCTGTTAAAGTGAGAACATACATACATGTGTACATGTGTCACTGTGTGTGTGTTTTACATAGTAAATAAGAGTTTTTGGGTGGCTGCCTGTTATCTCCTTTATCAGGTGGGTGAGAGCTGGCTTTCCTGGTCTTTTCTGTTTCTCACTTCTTCTTGTTTTGTTAACACTTCTTGATAAATTATTATGGTAATTGTGTTACCTGGGGCCTCTCCCATCTCATTTCCCTCCTTTGTCATTCTAATTGCTTTAACTGTAGAATGTATCTGTAGAGTCAGAAGCTGCTTTTAGTAAGTTTCCCTATTAATTTTTAATAAAGCCCATCTTTTCCCTGCCTACAAGCCACCTTTCCCTACACTGGGAAGGTTCATCATCATTATCACCATCATGAACTTCCGTAGCAGCAGCATTCCTTGAGGACAGGGACTGTGTTCATCACTCTATAGGCAGCATCTCAGTTCGTTTTTCTCAGAATCCACTGAGGTCCACACTTTGACTCCATAAATTTCAGGATGAAAACAAACAACATGTTCAAGGTGTTATTCATAGTGGTCAGTGACTGGGCCAGGATCTATTGGCTACCAGAGCACAGGATGTCACCTGGGGCCATTCTGCTGTGACATCTGCTTGGGGACTGGGATGAAGTGGAGAGGGTCAAGTAACAAACCAAACACAGAAAGCAGGTGTGTAAAGGCGTATACATGGGAGAGTGGAAGGGTAAGGGGAATAGGACTTTATTTGGAGTATTTGTAAGGTGAAGAGGCAAAGGAGGCAGGGATAGAACCCTGAATAGATCTGGTTTCCAACTTAGTGGGACCTGACATAAATGCAAGTTGGCTGGTTTAGTATCACTAGAAAACCTCTGAAGAACAGGTGAGTTTCAAGTAGGGGATTTAAACAGTGATAGGCATTCACAAGTGTCTTTCCTTGGCTTTAAAAAAATCCACCCAAGACCTGCAATTTACCATGGTCATTTTTTGCCCCAGCCACAACTTGGCAGCTTTGCTGTCTTAGAATCTTACTGACATTGTGTTGATTTGATAGCAAGCCTTCCCCCATTTTGGAGTCAGCTGCCTCTAAGGAAGACAGAAATAAAATCTTTTTGGGGAGAGAGGCTGGAAGGAAAAGAGACAAAGCTGGCTTATGATAGGCAGTTTAATGGGCAGGTTCCTTTAAATAGTCTTTGACAGCTCTGTTCTTTGTGTTAGGATGTAATTGTTTACCCACAGAAGAGCCTTTTCTAAGTGTTGTTATGTCCTAACGTTGTCTCTATAATCACTTTACAGCACACCTTTGTGTCAGGTGCCAGAAATGCAGGTATGTTGGGCGTATTGTTCTGCCTGATATGAATGCACCTCAGTGACAGGCCCTTCTCTGGCTCACATCCTGACACTGGGGCTTCACGGGCTTTGATCCTTTCTTGACATCCTCATGCTTTCCCCCCATCAAACATGCTGCTCCAGGTTCTGTCACTTCCCAGAGCATCCGGACAGCATGGCACCTTTCATCGGCACCGCGGCTGACCCAGTTTCTGGGAGGAGCAGAGGCTGGGGACAGAGGGCACTTCCTGTGTTTTTATTGGTGGACACACAAGGTTGGAGATGTTGGCCATTTAGGACTGAACAAAGTTCCTGGGGAATTAAGCTCTTTCCTGTCCCCACCTCCTTCCTGAACTTGTAGGCACATGTTACTCCGATCTATGGGCACAGGTGGGCCACAGCTGAAAATGTTTTACTCCCATGTGTCTGGGAACAGGATCCTAGTTCCCTTTTTTGGTATAGTTTGGGTCATTTATTAATACTCTTTTGGGGAAAAAAGTAGAAGAGTAGCCAATAACCAGCTTCTGCGAGATGCCTGCTCTCTGTTGGGTTAGGTTGGGCTCCCGAGTGTCTGCCTCCCAGCTTCTGCAGGTACTGACTTTGCAAATTTGGAAAATCAACTGCCTCTGGAAAAGTGCCTCACTTTCCTTCTCTGTGAAAGGTGGGCTTTAGCTTCACATGTCTCCCGGGTATGGAGAGAATCACAAGGGATGATGGACCTTGGACCTTTCCCTTTGTGCGTGTCTTGGTTACTTTTCTCTCGTTGCTGAGACAAAATACTCAACGCCCAACATGAAGGAAGGAAAGGTTTATTTAGCTTACAGTTTGTGGAGGTTTCAGTCCATACTTGGCTGGCTCCGAGGCAGAAAGTAGCAAACCAACAAGAGCAAAGGGGGGAATGGCAGCCGAACGGCAAAGCAGCCAGAGCAAAACCGGAGGAATGGGGGCAAGCAGCTTCTTTCCCTGCCTTACTTTGTAAACAGGCTACCCCCACCTAAGGGGCGTGTAGCTCTCACATAATCTTTGCCCTCCTCTTCCACAGGCTCAGGATGTATACAAAGTAAGTATCCTGGCTTCCTGCTGAGTCACTTAGCCAAACCTCTAGACTCCCCAAGTTGACACAATGTTTCAACCATAACAGTGCAGGGCACATATAATAAGCATTCAGTAACTGTTAGAGAATTGAACCCTAGTGATAATATTTTGCTGTGGATGTTATTATTACACCCATTTTATAGATAAATGGAGAATGAAAAGTGAGGCGGGTAAGTGATTAGCCTAAGGACACAACATGTAAGTGTCAGAGCTGGGGCTTAAACTCAGCTCTCCTTCAGTCTGTCTAACATATTTTCTTCTACAGAACTTCGTTCCCAGCCTGTAGAATAAACATCATACAAAACCATCTATTACTGGATACTACTTAATGATTTATATGTAGCATCTCTGAGTGGATGCTGCATAAGGCAGTTAATCATTCATAAATTGTTATTTAGTACAGCCTCAGTTTCCCCATCTGTAAAATGAGATGGTTGATCACTGAGGTTGAGGACTACAACCCAGGAGTATGGGGGCCCAGTCTCAGGGGTCCTGGACTCACTAGTTGTGTGCATTTGGATATCTCTGTGAGCTTTGGACTTGTTACCTGTACAGTGAGGGTAATGTTTCTGCATAGTGAAGTTGGAAGATTAGACACATATGAGGAAGGCCCCTGACATAAAGTGGGTGCTTACGCCATGCCAGCTGTCCCTAACATTCTTGTTTCATGTCCATGTCCTGGAAACAAGCCTCCTTACCTTGCTTGTCCTGTCAGGACAAAAGGCATTTCCTTAGTTTTAATGACTCATACTTTGTAAGGTGAGAAGTGTTGTAACATTGGTGCTTTTTAAAAAAAGTACAGAGCTTGATCTGAAGAGCCTGAGTGCAAATCCAGATGCTAGCACTTTCAGCAGGCTACTTCACCTCTCTGTTCTGTGGATTCCTATCTTGTGGGAACTTCCACAGATGCATTGGAACCACTGACTCAGAAGTGAGCACTGCCTTCCTACTTCATAGGGTTACTGTGGGGATTGTAGGGGTTCATTTGCATGAAGTGCCTGGAATAGACCCTGGCCTTTAGTAAGTCCTTGACCCATATTAGCCTCTGTTATTCTAACCTAGTAATGCCCCTTCAGCAGCCAGTGACAAGTGAGAAAAACTGAAGCCCAGAGTTCAGGATATGCCCTGTATTCTGAAGCAGCGTTTGGCTGAGTTCATTGTTCTCTCTGGGGTCCATTTCATAAGCACTAACCACTCGCCGTCTCCTACCTTGGACTCATCCTAGGAATTTCCCTTTCGCCTAGCCACAGAAACACTAACAGAAGGGAAAACAGTCCTGTGCAGGAATTTTGCCTCCCCATTTTTGTCTCTGTCCCCACCCTGTGGGATGGTAGATGTGACCTTTCCCCATCTTTGTGTTCACTTTATTCCCTAGGCTTGGGCAGCTGGACGGCAGCTTCATGAAGCCTGGTTAGAGAAGTCGGAAAGAGTGCAGACCTGGAAGTCTCCCCAGGGTGTTTGAGGGTCTGGCAAGAACTGGTTTTCTCTGTTCTGCTTTCACCCAGGTCCAAGCTGCCTGTGCCCCAGGAGGGAGCTGTTTGCCTAACTTGTTGGCTTCTGGGGCTTAATCTTAGTTCCAACTCCTAGTTTAAAAGTACTTGTCAAAAGTGGAGCAAATGATCCATATAAATATATGCCTGTCTTGATTTGGGTTCTTTGCTACCCAGGGATATGGCAGATATGTGCCCAGGAAGAAGAAATGAGATGAGGATCACGTGTTACTAGGATGAGATGAGGGGAGAGATGCATCATAGAACCACACACACATTCCTCTTGCAACACCCTGGGGTGGAGCTTGGCACTTTGTCTGAAGGCTGCATCTCCTTGCCCTGGAAGACCTTGAGGTGGGGACCCCCTGGTGACTTCGGGTGCTTGGGATAGGCTCAGGAAGTGGTCGGTCAGTAGTTCTAGAAAATATAGTAAAAAGCATCTACTTGGGAAAGTTGTGGTTACTTAAGTCCAATCCCATTGGGGAAGTGGGGTGAGTATTCCAATTAGAACAAGTGAGCGGAGACAGGGAGTGGTATCAAAGATTTCCCAGCCGTCAACCCCTTTTCCCCAACTGGGAGTCGCTGGGAGGCTGTAATGACTTCTCCAGCTTCCTCACCAGCTGCACACTCACAGGTCTCCCACACAGTGCCCCATCTCCTGTTGAGTGATATTGTCCTGCTATCGGATTTCTTTTGACAGCTTTTTGGAACAAGGATTTCATTTGTGTCTGGAAATATCAGCTAGAATTATCTTGTAATTTTCTTCTTCCATTCTACATTGTTCTCCTGTATGAAGCTTGACTTGGTGGAGTCATTATGGGAGGGTCATTCACTATTCGGTGAGATGCTTTCTCCTATTTCAGAGCATGTGGCTTGATCTGTACGTGGCACTTAAAGGGATGGGAAGCAGAAAGCTATCCTTAAGTTTAATGTTTGGATTTGGGAACAGAAGAACTTCTTCAGCCTTGGTTGTAACCTTGAATATGACTAGGCAGTGCTCCAGCCATCACTCTTTAGGCCTTAAAAATAGGAGTTCAGACCCAGTGCCTCTCAGCCACTAGCATAAGGGCCATTTGAGGTGTTTATTTAAAAATGCAGTCCTGCACAAGGCCATATTCAGTACCCTTTCCCCCAACACACACATGCAATCCCCACCCTGGTCATGTAAGTGTGTTTGAGCAAATCATGTTAGCCCTGCAGCTGCTCAGTATGAGCTATCCCAGAACTTGTGGGAACTTCTGTAGTTTCATGGAACCACTAATTAACACATGAGTACTGCCATCCATGTAGCTGTGGGGAAATTCCATGTAGCTGTGTGGGAAGTTTCTGCTTCAGCCCTGAACCCTTTGCCATTCAGCACATGTGCCACATGCCTTTGCATATTCTTCATGGTGGCAAGACCTATTTGACTATTAAACAGCCCACGCTACTGAGAATCATAGCTGATAAGGAAGATCTTTAAACTAATTACTACCATTTGTGGTCACAAGGATAAGGGTGCAAGTAAGATGCAGTGTTTTATGGTGCTTCATATACTGTTCCTGAAGATGGGTATCAAAGAGGAATCCCTACAGTGATTTGAGCTCTTGCAGTATGGTTGTACTTAAGTCTGCAAAACAATCTCTAAATGTTTTGAAAAATCATGTTCATTTACATGAATTCTGCTTTCGTAAAAGAAAATCATCTTCCAGCCATGACTGTCTCATCTGGAAGCACCTTCCCAAAAAGTGACATCTAATTGGAATGCAGGGGAAGATTTCCAACAAATAAACAGCACTGGTCAATAGCTGCTGCATTCTCACCCCTCCCACTGCTGACTGCGAGATATTTGTGGATATCTGTGGAATGTTTATCCCTTCTGATACTGGTACCCTGAGGATTTAGCAACATACGGAACATCAACACCTTTTCCTTGGTTGCTAGAATGCTTAAAAACAACATAGTGGCTATGGAAAGCTGGATTAAAGACTCCACATCAGAGACAGAAAACCTGGTCTCCAAGTTTGGCCTTGCCGCTCACCATGTGCTTGTCTCAAGGCATATCATTTAGTCCTTGAACCCAGAGCAGGCAGCACATCATGCGTATTTAAGAGGCTTCGGGACTTCACAGTACCGCGCACAGATGCTGCCTCATGGGAGGCTTTCAATGAGTGCTGGTTGCCTCTGGATCCTACCAGCTTAATTCATTAAGTAGGTGCTGAATATCTTTGTAGGGAGAGGGGAATGGAGGAAAGGAAGAGGATATACTGTATGCAGAAGACCTAACCTCTGATTTGCAGAAGACATGAATTCAACAAAAGAACACCCAAAGGAAATGAATTAACTGTAAGCAAGCCCCACACTCTCATGTTGCCAGAGAGATGGAAATGAGAATCCAATAGTTCTCACATCCTTCAACAGAGGAGCACATGGGAGTTCCTGGCAGCCACGAATCATTGTAATTATAGATTATTCTTTTCTGTTTAAAAAGCCACCACTTTAAACATAGCTCCCAGCAATTACAAATCAATTATAACCTACAATCAGACCTTTGGTTTTTTTAAGTCTGTGTATTCTCTCAATGTAGTTATAAATCGTACTTGTTTGTTGGAGGCCAGGAGGTCAGTAAGATCATTCAACTAGTGGGTTGAAATGAAGCTAACTGGGAGTAATTATCAATCAGTCCCTCTGAAAGCAAACTGATATTCTCACAAGGAATTATTTGTTATGTTTTCCAGGCAATTTCTTTCCTCACACCGTTGGCTGTTATTTGTGTGGTGAAAATTATCCGGCGAACAGACAAGACTGAAATTAAGGAAGCCTTCTTAGGTGGAGTATTCACAGTTTCTACTTCAGGGGATGGGGCTGAACTTAATTAGATCACATTTTTTTAAAAATTGCAGTTACATCCAACTGGCTTTTCCTTTGGTCAGATTAAGCTCAGGAAAAAACAAAACAAGATTAACCCTAAAGCCTGGGAAGAGTCAATGTACAGTTTATAAAAGGGATTTTCACAGGGCGCCCTGGGTGCTGTCCTTGGTGCTAACGGTTGTGCGTTATCCGTATCAGAAATCTGGGCTGCTGAAGTCTAGTGGTAGGGTGGTGGTCCACTTAGACAAAGCAAATCTAAAATGGTCCCCACTGACTGCCCAGTCTCACGGTAGGATCATACTATGGGCATTGCCGAAATCAATATGTGCTGAGGACAAAAATGGGTAAGATAGGTGTAAACTAGATTAGAAACATATTTCCTAACTTGTCTTCAGTTTGGGAACATTTTGGGAGGTAAACAGTTGTCATTATGTGAAGTGTGCCTGCCTTTGCCACTGATCATAGCTCTACTGTTATAAATTCTTCCCAAGCTGAACCATGTCTGCATGTGACAAGAGTTACGTATTTTAGGATTAAGTGTTTTCTGGCCTATATATCAAATGCTGAGAAAACGATAAGTTCAAGAGATAGCCAACAACATTTACCTATTTAACAACTAAAATAAGCTAATCTATAGCTAAACCTTCATATTTATGATCCTGAAGAAATTTAAATTAGGTTGATTTTTTTGATACCTCACATAAAAGCTAGCCAGATACCCCAAAATTTGTGTTTTGTGTGTTGTGTTTATTCACCATCCAGCACGGTAGTAAATCTAGAAAAAGGAGATTCCTCACTAATGGGTGTGCTTTTTCATTATGCTGAAATGTGGGTATTCCATTTCTAGGTAAGGAATGAGGATTAAGCCATGATCTATGATATGCAGAACAGTCAGGGGGTCTGCCTTCAACAACACAGACATTTTTTACACAACCAGCACTTAGCTCCACTCTCAATTAAAGGAACAGGATAACAGTATCCCTCTCAAATTAGCTCAAATAAATAAAGAATTTAACTACAAGGCTAAAATAACTAACCTCAGAGAAATAGAAGAAGGAAAGAAGAAAGTATGCAGGAGCCTCCTGGTGACTGAGGTGGCGACCTGGGCCATCAAGACAAGAGACTCCTCTCAGCTTATGATCACCTCTGCCTGAAATATGCCTTCCCTCTTTCCCTCCCAACCCCAGCCTCACACTCCTGTCTGCACTTACTTCATCTCTCCTGCCTCATAACTTCAGTTTGTATGAGGCTTGCACTTGCAGTGATGTTGCTTCTGCCCCGTGTCTGTCTGGTTGTGCAGCTTTAGTGTCCACCACTGATGTTCCCTGTATTTCTTGGTCTAGACTCCCTAGATAGACTTGGACTCAACTCATTTTGTAGTCAGAACACCAAGTAATGAGTCACTGGCCAGGCTGGGGTTGCCCTCTCTCTGGTAGGTTGGGAGTTTGATCACATGGCCTTGGTCCCTTCAACTGAGGAAGCAGAAAGGTCATTTTTCCCCCCAAGGGCACAAGTGCAGTTCCACATATGGCTCAAGTGGCCAGGCAGTGTTTGGATGAATAATACTGTGGTCCCCAAGCATCCTCCAAGTTGGCCTAGAAATCCCAGGATATACTCTTGATCCTTTTGTTCCCCTGGCACAAAGTCTTGAGATAAATAACAGTGGATAAGAACTGTCTTTTGTGGTTGTTTTTATAATTTACTGCTGGCTTTTGGAGTTGGGCTGTTGTGATGGCAGTAAGTAGCTCACAGTTACCTTTTCTAGACATTTTCATTCTCAGCTAAATCTCCCTTAGGGTGACATTTCAAAATTGAACACTGTACTCTGCTTCCTACATGTTAACCAAGAAGGTGGAATTATTGAATGCTCTGTTTGCCTAAATAAATGAGAGTCTGCCCTGTAGAAATGATGAAGAGCCGATTGTGCATGGGGTTTTAAAACAGTCGCTGCTTTTAGGTTTTAAAACAATCACTGCTTTTAATAAGGCTTGAAAGTAGGGGTTGGAGAAATGATCTGAAAACTAGGTGTTTGTTAATGTCTGGAATTGAGCACTATCACAGTATGAGGTGTTAGGTTCTTGGGTGTCTTCTTTAACTAGGTAATACACTTCCAGACATGGGCCCTAGTTGCTCCCATTCTCTGTATATGCACAGTGGTCACATGCATGCATTTAGAGCTGGATGTGGAGAGTGAGCTTTGCCCCATCTAGCATGGAGTTTTTAGGAATTCACGCTGCAGAGCACCCAAGACTATAAAGAGAACCTTGTTCTGGGAGTGCTGTGATGCTGAATTTCCCATAACAAAAGACGCAAGAAAAAACCCCTAAGCCTCTAGAATGCTTCTAACCAGTATGAGCCCCTTGCAAGTCAACTTGTAGTAATTATTGCTTTGAATCTCTTTATTAGACACAATCTAGTTTATATTCCTGGTCCCTCTTTCAAACAGTGTTGTGGGATGCAGTGAAAACAGCCTATGAGACAGACCCATTAGGTTACTGTTAACCAACAAGCACTCCTGATTGGAACCATTAATTTCACTTCTTGTCCAGCCCATCAATAGTGTAATCTGTGCCTGGCAAGCGCAAGGTTGTGAGTTCGGTTCCCGGTACCGGAGAAAAACCAAAAAAAAAAAAAAAAAAAAAATAGTGTAATCTGACCATAGCCTGCTCTCTAATATTGTGAAGCGTCCCTGTGTTGGTCTCCTGCGGGTTGTGCTGTTCAGGTGAAAATATTAATCAACTCAGTGTACTTCCAGAGTGCAGGATGGCTTCTACACTAAATATCATCACTTCAGTTTCCCATCCTCTCTCTCCTTAGGGCATTTAAATCAGAGAACTGGTTGTATCACATCCACAAATTTTTTTGTTCAACTACTTTAAACTTTTTGAAAAACTACTCTGTGTTGAGATAGCCCTCCAAACTCAGAGGTTAGAGGAGTATGTAGTGTTCTGGGTAGATGGAGCTGTGTATAAAGTCCACCAAGATGTATAGAGGCCTGGGAGATCAGCTACAGATGCTTGCTCTGATAGAGTTTATCTCTGCAAAGGCCATACTTTAATCAGGATAAGAACGAACTCCACCTTTCTGAGAAAACACAGCAACATGCCTGCCAGGTGAGCCCTAACAGGTAAAAGACCATCATCATTTCCTTGTGATCTCACAGCTCTCAGTTTGTGAGAGAGAGGGAAGCTCATGTTTTTCGAAGAAAGTGCTTGTGTGTGCAGGATACAAGTATAGCAGATCTTCCTTTGTCCGCAACACTTGGTCCAACTTATACACCCTGATTGCGTGCTCTGGGTTTTCACTACAGTGTTCTGGTGCTGACTCATGCTCTGCTTTCCAGCTATGGCCTGTCCTTCCTTTGCCACCCCACTTGAATACAGCTCATGACCCATCTCCACTCAGACTATTGATTTCCTTTGACAAACGTGTCCCTCCCATTTTGTCTGCTTGTTAAAGCAGGTGGTTCTGTCCCAGTTCCAGTAGTATATGTCCTTGGTGACTGTGCAGGCCACACTCCACAGTACTTTTTTCTTGATAGAATAACACATTTGTCTCCCTTGATGGCTGTGAATTGCTCCAGGCAGCTTCTTCCCAAAAATGCCCCAGCATTGCTTTCTTCTTACATAAATCTCAGCACTGAGTAGTTAATATTTGCCAATGGGAAATGGTAGCTCACATGCTATATTATTCAACAAAGCAGTGGAATAGGGCATCAAAAGGTTTTTATTGCTTATGTAAGGCATTTGACCCTCATCACATTGAGGGTAAGGCCTGTGCCTTGGTGCACTCTTGATAAACCACAAGAGAGGGGTGCACAGTTTTTCTAGGGCAAGCTCTGTGATTCATGCCGCCTGCACCCTTTGGATGATCTGGAGTTCATCTGGCCAAGTCTATCCAGGTGGCTTGGAGAAGGGCTCTGTGCTGTGCATTTTTAAAAAATGTATTGCAGAGTACTAGCTATTTTAAATGACAAAAAGCACTACCTTGGCAAACCTCCTCAAAGCACAGGGAGGCATATGGAGTTTTCCCCTTTTCAAAAAGAGTGATTTATTGGTAACAAATAGACAGCTGTGAGCAGGTGATGGGTCAACAATGACACAGTGGCTTGGTGGGGTTGTCCTATTTCACAGTAGGCCTCCAACAGCTGCTCTGATTAGAGTGATATCTAAGAAGGTTGTCAGGAGGAAATAAAAATAGTTGTCTTTTGCTACCAGTAAAACAAATTCTATATGCTGCCATATTAAATCTGTTCATATCAGACCAGAAAGTGACAGATGGACTCCTCTGTGATGTTGAAACTTTCTGTCAAGGAAGAGAAAGAAATTTCATGTCATGGTGGCCTAGAAATTTGTGAATCACTCTTTAAAGTCCTGCCCTGATTATATTTTGCTCTAACAACAAAGTTTCTGTTTTTATAGTAGTGGTTCGTATCTCTATGGTAATAAATTAAAAAGTATTACAACAAAACAATGGTAATGATGATGGTGATCATGGTGATGATGATGATAATGGTGCTCGTGGTAATGGTGATGATGGTGGTGATGATGGTGATGGTGATGGCGCTGATGATAATGATAGTGATATGATGATTTGGATTTGAGAGCCAGCTGGTTATTTTTCTATTGGTTTTGTTTTGTAGCTGTATCCTTGGCTCTTGCCTTGAATGGAGTCTGCACAAACACTATTAAGTTAATAGTGGGAAGGTAAGTTTCAAAAAGAAACAAATGGTGACTTAGAACAAGTGGTGATAATCAAGGTCATCTATATAGGAACCATGGCTTGAGAACATTGGATAGGACAAACTTGAGCTCTTTTAGTCTGTCTTTAAATTGTTTCCATCTACGGTTTTTGTCTTCATCACAGATCTTTTCTTTTCTTTGAGTTGTGAACTGTTTCAGAAAGTAGGAGATCAATAGTAAGAAAATGTCCACTGAGTGTACATTTTTGTGGGCCAGTAACTGCCTTGGGCATTTTGAGGGCCACCCACTGCTATGTCAGGACTATGCCAGATACTCACTCACTTGTCGGCTTTGCTTCTAATAAATACAGTTATTTTTTATTGTTCTTTTTGGGATGAGATATATGGGGCATCTGAGGTTGGGTTTACAGAACATTTTTCTCATCACTCCTAAGAAATGACGTCTGCTGTCAATTTGTTTTTCTTTTTTCTATAATTAGTAGTAGAGAGTTTGTCTCTGTAGAGATTAGAAGTCCTGAGGCCTCAGTTTAATACCAAATTTGGACCCTGAATATTTATGTAAATGGCGAGTGATATTGCCCTCTTACAACCTCAGTGTTAACTGATTATTGGCTTCAGGGAGGCTGCTGGCCCAGCACAGAGCGGGTGGAAGGTGCATAAAATATCTCAGAGCTGGGGGTGGGGAGTGGGGGTGGGGCAGCAAGGTAGTGTATGTGAACTGTAACCCAATGTGCAAAGAAGGAGTGCTACATTTGCAGCATTAGCACATCCTCCATCATGGTAGGTACTCAGAAAATATTAGTTGGATTACTGTAAAGTGCTGGACCATCACATATCCTCATATGAAAGTGAGGTGAAGTGCTTAGGCATAAGATCCAATTGCTGGGGTTCAGAGCTTTCAGGTTATGTGTAACCTTGTGCAAGAGTTTTATCTTCCTAAGCCTTCAGTTTTTGCACCTGTAAAATGAAGAAATTTCCGGGGTCAGACTCAGAATTCTCATGAGTCACAAAGTATGATGAACTGGCAGTGCTTCTCACTGTGTGTAGAACCCAGGGAGTGCTTAGGAATATTAGTTGTGGTTGTTGCAAAGTCTCAGCTTCAGAGTCAGGACTCCCTTCTACCCTCTGAAGGCCTCTTTCCCATTCCTTAGACTAGAGTAGCCAACCTCGGTCATTGAGTTCTGTGTGCACCTGAGCTTCTAAGTCTTGTCAGAGAGGTTAAGTGGGACCTGCTGTTGAGCACTAAAATTAAGCACATAGAAATGAATACTTGGCATCTTGGATTCTAGAAGCAGTCTCTGGATTGGTGGTATGGTAGCTCATGGCAGGAAGTACCTTTTATTCCATTTACATTGGGTTCAGGTTCGTCTTCTGTCATGTCACTTAATACTCAAGACCTCATATGTGGATAGATATTCACTGATTTCTGCCTTTTTCAGAGGTGGAAACTGAGGTTGGGAGAGGCTGAGTGACTTTCCTTGAGTCACAGAACTAGTAAGTGGTGAGCAAGAATTCCAGTTCAGTTCTCTCCAACCCCAAAGCCCGAGCTTCCCCAGCCAACATGTCTAGAGTGTTCTGTGGGGAGCTCAATGTAAATAGCAGAGTTGGCTTGAGGAGGGATTGGGGCCATGGGGGGTGGAGTCAGCTTGGGGCTTGTTTGTGATGGCAGCATTTTATATTGAAAATGTCCATGGTGTTTTTTGTAGACCTCGCCCCGATTTCTTTTACCGCTGCTTTCCAGATGGAGTGATGAACTCGGAAATGCACTGCACAGGTGACCCTGACCTGGTGTCGGAGGGCCGCAAAAGCTTCCCCAGCATACATTCCTCGTGTAAGTTCATGGCTGGAACACTCTTTAGTTCCCCCGCTCACATTTCCCAGTCATTGTCTGGAGAGGTTGAGATGGGTAGAAAAGCACTGGTACATGAATGCTAAGCACAGTTCATTTTTCTTCACTGTGGGGGTGGTTGGCTTAGAAACAAGGTGTTCAACAGGAAGTTAATAAGCTGCAGATGATGCTTCAGAGTTTACAAAGTTCTGCACGTGTTGCTTCTATGACCTGGACAAGGTATGACATGTGACACTTTTCCCCTTGGCAATGAGATTCAGAAACCTGATAACGCCAGGGATTTTGCCGTATTCTCTGGGATTTGACAGTTTTCAGCTCAGTGTTATCTAGTTTATTTCTTCAATTCTTACATTGTGTGTATACACACATACAGCATATATATGTACACATATATTCATAATGCTTATTCAGATACTTGCACATAGATGCATGTGTGTGTGTACGCACACACACACACACACACCAGTGTATAGCTTGTGTGAGCTTGGGCCAGATTTATAGCATGACTAAATAATTCCAACCAGGAGCAGTGCAGCATACTAGAAAGAACACAGGTCTTTGAATTGTGGCAAATCCTGATTCTGTCTGATCTTAGCTCTGTGATGTAACCTTTCAGAGTCTCCATCCCTGCTGTGTGAATTGGGAATAAGAATATCTCCATTACTGATTGGAGTAAGGATTGCAATAACTAGTATTGATCACTAACACTTCTGGACCTCCTTCCATGGTCACTGCATAGGTGAACACTCTTTACCTAACCCACACAATAAATTTAGCCCACATAAAGCACTTAGAATCACAACTTCAGACAAAGAGTAACTATCCTTATTATTATTTACTGCTAGAGCTGACATTTCCAGAATATCGTGACTTATGTCTGCATTCATTTTATCAATATTTATTAAATGGCTTAGGTGTCAGGTGTGGTGCCAGGCATTAGGGTCACAAAGATAAATCTGATGCAGCTCATGCCTTGGGGAACTCATAGTTTGTTCCATACTGCATATTAAGTTGGACGGTTGGGGAACTGTGAACGACTGCTTGAAATGGGACAGGCTTTCTTATGATGTGGAGTCCTTGCTTCCCCACAGCTGTGATCACCACTTACCTTGGATAGGTCTTCTATCTTAATCTTTTGTTTTATTCCCCCTAAACACCATACCCAAGACACACTGTTAGTGACTGGTCTGAGAAATGACAGAATGCTTTTTCCTATGGAGTGGTTTTGGACATTTTACTCAGAATCCCTGGAAACTATTGTCTGTCAACAAGGTGCAGGGGTGCCAGGCACTTTGAATGAATCGCCGTCAATCTACACCATTACCTCCAAGACTGGGGTCATTCCTGTTCCACACACAAGGGCTGTGGAGCTCAGGTAGCCACAATTACTTGTCGGAGGACAACAGCCTCTGACATGGGGGTGCCGTGGGCCTTTGATGAAGTATTCACTGCTCATATTAATTTAAATAAATAACTCATTTTTTTACTCTGGTTTTTAGAGACTACAGTAGGTTACATTCTACTCCCTCTCAGAAAAAGTATGTCTAAGTCCTAGCCTCTGGAACCTGTAAATCACTTTATTCTGCAATAAAAATTAGTTAGTAATAATGTATTATATACTGGACATTTGATGAGTGTAATTTCAGGGGTCCTCATACCCTCCCCATACACACATACACACATATACATGATAACTGAGATAGGTATGTTAATTTGACTGTAATAATCATTTCAGTATGTATATTTTTACTTTTTTAAAACATTGTTTTATCTGTGGGGCTGAAGAAACAGAATCACAAGTTTAAGCAAATTAGTATTTAATGAGACCCTAGCTCAGAAAAAGAGAGAAATTAAAGAAGGATTGGGGACTTACCTCAGTGCAAAGGCCCTGTGTTCAATTCTTGGTACCACAAAAAACAAACAAAAAAAACCCCACCATTTTATATGGCAGAAAAAAAGGAAAGAAAGAGAGAAAAGGAAGGAAGGAAGGAAGAAAAAAGAAGGAAGAAAGAGAGAAAGAAACAAAGAAAAGAAAGAACAGAGTTTCTGCAAATGTAACTAAGGATCTTGAGGTCATTTTGGATGTAGGACGGGCCCTAAGCCTGATGACAGCTTCCCTTGTCAGAGAAGTACAGGGGGAGCTGTGAGATAGAGACACTGGCAGAAGGGCGAATGAAGACACTGGCAGGTGAGAGTGGTGCGGCCTTGAGCCAGGTGATGCCCATAGCCACCAGAACTGGAAGAGGCAGGAGCAGTTCTTCCCCAGAGCATTTAGAAGGATCATGGCCTGGATGACACACTGGTTTTAGACGTCCTGGTCTCCAGAACTGTGAACAATGATGCCTGTTGCTTTAAACCACCTAGTTTGTATGAATTTTCCATTCTGCAGCTGCCCTAGGCAACAAATGCAGAGATTCATATCAAAAGGATGGAAGGGGTTTGACTTTAGAGTCATGAAATAGATTGAGGGAAATCGTGTCACTGTGAATATGCTGCTTTAAAGTATCCACTGAGAGTGCTGTAGCAAGGGGCATGACAAGGTATGAAGATGTGGGGCTCAGGTTTCTTCTGGTGTCCTTCCTGTCCCTTGGGGCCTAACAGCCATCTGGAATTGCTTCCTTCCCAATTCTTTTTTCTTTTCTCTATGAAATCACAGTTTGAGTATCTGTTTTGGAGGCATAGTAGGTACTGTACCAGCTGGAGGTGTTGCACTGACTTATTGTGTCTTTATTCAGGGATTCCCAAGATGCCACTGTGTCTGGGAACCTGGAATAATCATCACCTGAGTTCAGCTTCATCTGCTCACTCAAATCCTCTATTTTTGGTTTTTGTTCTCACTTACTTTTTTAGGATGTATTCTGTCCTCCTAAAGACTTGAGGCTGAATTTTAAGGGGCTTCAAAAACTAAAAGCACTAACAAGTTAAAGCCCTTTCATATGACAAGAAAACCTGAATCCTGGCTTTCTAAATGGTTAACTGAGGACTAGTCGGTTTATTGTTTGCTGTTGAATATGAACTTGGGCAAGACTAGCTCTCCTGTGAATACCTAATGCAGAGAGATGGCTGGATCTCAGAGATCACTGGCCAGCCATGACAAAAATGTTTGCTTTAGATGCACATTTTCTCTTTCAGTCATGAAAAAACCTTTTCTCACAGGGCTTCCCATTGGCTGCCCTGTCAAATGTGTGACTGATGTTGATCTGTGCTGGACAGGCTTTTTGGCAGAGGCAGTTCCTGTGTTTTGCTTCAGATGCTACTTAAAACATTGTGGATTTTTACTAGTTGGCAGATGCAGAATCCTACCCAGCCTCTAAGCATTGACCGTGGTGTTTTTATCTGCTCTCTTTCTCCTATTTATGACAGGGCAGTGACTGGTTTGAAGTGAGCTGCTGTATCCAGTTTAAAAAGCTATCAGTTCTGTTTTGTGGCTTCCTTATTGTAGCTTACAGGAGGCTTTGTGATTCCTATGACTTGTTGCTCCTCAAAGGAGATGACCTTGGTGGACACTCATTTTGTTACACAAACTCTGTCTTCTTTAAGAAAAAAAAAAAAATCAATTTTTTAGGTTGCATTTGAGTGACTTGCAGAGGTGTTCGGAACTAAGGGATTTATCTCCCAGCCTAGGGAGATGTGGGTTTTGTTTCTCTCTGTTCACGGATAATTGGATCCTGCAAGATAGTCCGTATCTTCCTACTATCTGGTAGAACAGTTGGTTTTCTTGGAACTTTAAGAACAAACATTGATTTCTTTTGGAAATAAAGGATCTTATTCTTATTCTATCATAAGCAGCCAAACAACTCTAGCCTGGAGTACTTATGAGGCCTTTTCTCTGCAAGTAGCACACCCATACAGCAGCACTTTCAGAACTTGCTCTGCGAAGCATTGGAAACCCTCCTTGACTAGAAGGTCAGAGGTCACTTTCAAAGAGCAAATGGTTTCCTTCCAACCTGGGAGAAGCCTTGAATTTAAAGAGGAGATAGGCAGTGCATCTTCCCCCAGGGCCTGAATGGAGGGCTATTCTGAACAGAGAATTGTCTCTCATAGTATAATCTCAACTTCTGACTGGGGATTGATTCAGCTTCCAGAAAGAAGGTAAATTTAAGAAAGAAAAGTAGGAGAAAATGAATTAATGCCAAGTTAAGCTGTTGGAAAACATCTGTCCTGTAAAAATGTTGGGAATGAAGAAAGCAACAGGCTTCTTGGGTGTCATCACATGACAGCACGAGGACCACATCTGGGGCCTGTGTGTGTCTATAAGTTAAGTTTTTCTGGATTGCAGAGATGCCTGTTCATTTACATATTGTCTGTGTTTGCTTTCACTGTACAGTGACAGAGTTGAGTAGCTGCCAGAGAGACTTATGGCCCACAAAATTGAAAATACTTATTATCTGGGCCTTTATAGAGAAAGTTCACCAACCCTGCTGCCCACCATGCTGCAAACTAGTAGAATTAGAAAGCATTACCAAAACCAAACCAATGTACTACATTGGGAATGTGGCTGTTTCATTTTTAAACAAATCCACTATAACATAGAAAGGGGCAGCTGTTGCTCAAGGGGTTCATTATTTAAATAGCAGAGAAAGTCTAAAAGATATGTCCGGCTGATGAAGGTTCAGCAGATTCTCCTGAGGCCTTAGTGTTTAGTAGGTCCTGGTCTAGCCGTGTGGGAAAGGGACAAAGGTGCATTAGGGCCTACATTTTTTTTTGAGGTTGAGAGCAAACACCAATCACTAGAAAACCATGTTCTGGGACCAAGGACCTGAAAACGCGCTGCGGGTCACAGGGACAGCTGCCAGGAATAAAAAAGGACTTTTCTCTTATAGATGTCCACCAAAGACTGCATAGGAGTTATATGTTTTGGGATTTTTATGTTTGAAGTCTTTTCCATTCTTTTGCCACATATAGAATCCAGGTTGAAAATCATTGCCTTGCACAACTGCAGTTTACAGTGTACCTGGGAGAGGTCTGCTGGTGTTGCTTTC